CCCCCTGTGATGCCAGTGCTGCTGCCCTACCCCTGCACCCTCTCCCGCCTACACATACTCTGAGTAGTAAGGTACTACTACTAGTAGTACACTGTACTACTAGTAGTACAGTGTGGGAAATTGTACACTTGTGGAAAGTGGCCAGAAAGAAGGCTGAAAAGCAGAAGACAACTTCAGCTTAGGCAGTGGGGTTTTATTTGGGAGGTAACAGCCAAGAAAGTTTCTGTCAGTGAGTGCCTGATTAGATTTGTTATTTGAAAGGATCACTTTGGCTACTCAGGAGGCTGAAGTAGGAGGATTGTTTGAGGAGTTCAAGACCAGTCTGGCCAACAGAGCAAGATCCCATCTCTAAAAAAGTAATTAAAAATACTTTATTTTGTGTTTGTTCTAGAAATAGGGTCTCACCCTGTTGCCCAGGCTGGCATGCAATGGCATGATCATAGCTTACTGTAGCCACAGGTACCTGGGCTCAAGTGATCCTCCTGCCTCAGCCTCCCAAGTACCTAGGACTACAGGTATGTGTGCACCACCATACTCAGCTAATTTATTTTTATTTTTAGAGATAAGATTCTCACTGTATTGCCCAGGCTGGTCTCAAACTCCTGGGCTCAAGCGATCCTCCTGTGTCAGTCTCCCAAAGCGCTGGGAGTATAGGAGAGGGTTAATATGGACTTATCTAAGACAGTTGAGTGAGGATGGTGAAAAAGAAATGGAATTATTTTTCAGAAGGGAAAATCAACTGGGCATTACCACTGATTGGATGTGTGGACTAATAAGGAGAGAGACAAAGATCAGTTGACAAATCAGTACAGCTCAGGGGCCTGGTCATCCTGAGTGTTTCAGCCTTCTAGCACCCTTTTTCTCCCCCATGCACTCACATCTTTTCTGACAGTTCCTCATCCTCAGGGAAAGTCAAATTCCGCTTAGTGATAAGGGCTTCAGTGATGCAGACGCCCCCTTCCTCTGGACCCTGGGCTGACTTCGCTGTGAAAAGATGAGTCCAACTGTCACATTTCCTCATCCTTGGAGGACTTACCCCGCTGTTTTCCAACTGCTCTACCCACCGTCCCCCCTCCCTACTCACCTCCAGACATGATCTAAAATAAAAGACTGCTGGTCTGAGCGGGGAGAGGAACGAAAAGGAGCCTAGCAGCCTGGGCGGCCCCTAAGGATGGCAGAAACCAGGATGGCAGGAGGAGAGAGAAACTCAGAGACTTGGGAGAGGAGGAAAAGGGGTTGATTCAGAGAAAATTGCTGGGGTGAGGTCGAAGACAACAGTAAATTGATGTGAAGGGTCTGGAGTTTGAGGGGTGTGGAGGGGCTTTGCTGGCAGCAAGCTGGGGCGCAGTGGGCAGGAATGGTTGAGAAAGGAGCAGTTCCTAGGAAGCCGGAGTCGTTGCTAAGAGACTGGACGCCGAGCCGGGAGGTGAAGACAGGATCCGTTGGCCCGGCTTAGCGCATGCGTGTTACAGCTACAGCTGACGGGTACGCCCACTGCTTCCGGCCCCGGGGTTCGCTACCCCACAATCCTTAGCTCTTTCCGTCACCACTCGGCTTCCGTCCATTCTTCCGGTGGAGATGGCTGCGGCCGTGGCTGGGTTGCTGCGTGGGGGTTTCCTGCCCCAGGCGGGTAAGGAGTGGCCCAGGTCCTCACGGCGTGTCTTGCCGCCGCTCTCTAGTCCTCATCTGCCCTCCTCTACTACTGATTCTTCTCATAATCTCTGACCCCAGCTAGATCGCTGGCCCCGTGCAGCTCCTTGTGATTCCAGACTCTGGTAATCACAGCAACAGCGTCCAGCTGTTGCCTGTCTCCAGAGTTTATTTTGCCTGGACCACTCCTCGCCCAGACCTTTGCATTATGTCTGCCTCTTAATGTCTCAGCCTAAATGTCACCTCAGGTCTACCCTTGACTCCTTAGCCCCATCGCAATCTGTAATTTTGCATTTAAACTGAACAGTTGCTTGTTTAAACTTAAACTCCGCAAGGGCAGAACCATGTTAATTCAGCATAGCCAGCAGGTGGCATGGTGCTTGATGTTAGTAAGGATGCAATAAATATTTGTTTAATGAATGGATTTGAGCACTCAATATAGACCAGGCACTGTGATAACTATTTTTATATGTGTTAGCTCATTTAAATCTTTTAAATCATTTAAATCTGAAGCACCCTGTGAGAAAGACATTCGCATCTCCTCTTTACAGACGCAGCAACTGAAGTTCAGACCAGTTGGGTGGCCAAGGTCACAGCTAGTAATTGGCGGAAGAGAGATTAAAATCCAGTTTCGGCTTGGCGCGGTGGCTCACGCCTGTAATCCCAGCACTTTGGGAGGTTGAGGCGGAGGGATCACCTGAGGTCAAGAGTTTGAGAACAGCCTGGCCAACATGGCGAAACCCCAACTCTACTAAAAACACAAAAATGAGCCGGGCGTGGTGGCACGTGCCTGTAGTCCCAGCTACTCAGGAGGCTGAGGCATGAGAATCGCTTACACCGGGAGGCAGAGGTTGCAGTGAGCTGAGATCGCCC